ATATATATTATATATATATATATATTTCAACTAAAAAAGGTTARWCTTTTATATCTTTATATATATATTGATTATTATTATTAATATTAATATTATTATTATTTCTCATTATATAACAAATTATTTTTGTTGTCGACTAAAATTTATATTATATAATACCATACATAACAAACATGGCTTATATATAGATATATTAGATTTTCTAGATTAATATATATATATTACATTGCAATTTTATTTATKATATAACAACAACAACAAAATAAATATAATATTAAATTAAAATTATATTAGATTTTTAAAAGGAAAAAATAATAACAAAATRTTATACATTAGGTTTACAAGTCTAGTGTATAATACTATTATAAATGTTATATCAATATAGAAAATAGATATAATGTATAAAAATTATTAGATTATATTATACGGTATATAACRTATATATGATTTAAAAATTTAATTTAATATCCAATATATATATATATAACAACAAATAGTAGTATTATTTAATAATGATGATRATAGCTTAGTGCCAATAAAATTTTAAGTATAAATAAAACAAAAATTAATTATAATCATAATAATTGACTTTAACTTTATTAAAATCCAATTCAAAAAAATATTTATTTAAAACAATAAATAAAACTAATTAAATAATTTTTAAGCTAAAATTTATAAAATACWAGTAAAATCTAAATTAAAAAAWAATTTTTCTATATAGTTTATACTATATATTTAAAAATTGATTTTATTTATATATTTATATTTATTTAAATAGATAGTTTTATTTTCTAAATACAAAAATTTGCAATTTGATAGATGCCATCACCAAAAAAAAATTGTCACATTTATAAATATTTATTTATTTATTTATTTTGTGTGAATAATATAAAATAAAATTGTTTTTTATTGACTTATTGTGTGTGCGCGCTAAATAAGGGTTAACCCCATATATATATAGTTTGGTATTATTATTATTTATTTTTACATATATAATACCTGTTATATATATATATATACTGTATATATATATATATACTAGACTATACTGGCATTGTGTTGAGGGTATGACAATTGAAGTGTCTATTATTATCATATTATTATTATTATTATTATACTATACTGTATTGTATAGTATAGTCTACTGTTTGTTGTTGTATATATAAAATAACTTAATTTAAAATTTATTGTGAAAAAAAATAAATTTTATATTTTTTTCAATAGTGATAGAAAAAAACCCAATTTGAATAACCAATTTTACACTAAATTTACATTATATATATATATAGTATATTTTTTCTCCTAAAAAAATTATAGATAAATCATATAAATATTGATTTGTATATAACAGTAGAATATATATATATATATATATATATATATTTACCTCATTTTATACACAAAAAAATACAATAAATAACACCAAAAAAAATTATATATATATATATTTTTTTGTAGTCAACTCAAAGAAAATAAAAACTATAAATTTAAATAAAATTTAAATATTTTTAAATAAAATCAACATGTTATTACCATTGTAATTTTTTTATTGCAAGTTATTTAATTTTTTGTTTGTTTGGTTAATTAAATTTTATTATACATGTAATTTARCATTTATTATTTTTAACWGTTAACATTWTATATACTATTTAACAGTAATTGACATATTTATTAAATAATAATTAAAKTAAAAAAAATATTACTAATTTTAATATATATATATATATATATATATTACAAATCCAATCAATCAACTMTATAAATATSATAATAATAATAATTTTTTAATAAAATATTTTATTTTTATTTTGTAGATATATATATGTAATATTAAAAAATAAATAAATAAAAAATATTGCATGCAACATTAGCAATGCAAATTTTAWAAAAATTTGATATACTAGTAAACTATACCTAACAATMAATTTTTTAAAAAAAATAAATTTAATAATATATTTARATTCAATTGCATTAAAATTTTTTGTTTTGTTTTGTTTGTTTATTAAATATACTATTTAAATATGATATACTGTATTACAGTATTATTATTATATAGTATAGAGTTATATATTATTTTTTTGTGACTATTATTAACTATATATATATATACAATTTATTTGATTTTAAAAAAAATTATTAATGTTTTTTTATTAATATTATTTCAGTTATATAGATGAAAAATTATTATACTTTAAGATTAACTATATATATATTWTATATATATATTTAGTTTGTTTTAGATTAACTTTTATATATATATATAAATTATTTTTCGGATCACTTTATTTTTTTTATAAAATTGTTTGGATATATTAAAAACTTATTGATTTTTTGGACATTAAAAAAATATAGCTATAAATCCTKKAAAAAAAAGATTGTAATGTTTTGAGCTTTTATTTTATGTTTTTTTAGATCTTAAAAAAATTATATTTTAAACTAAAACACTTAACTTGTTTTGTATAAATTTTATATTGATATTAAAATCTTAATAAAAAATTGTTTTATTTATAAAATAAATCTAATAAATATAAATTTAAATACTTTATATATATTAGTAAATAATTGATTTAATGATATTAAATAAATCAATAACTAAATAGAAACTAAAATTTATAAAATAATTTAAGTAGTTTTTTATATAAAAAATATTTGGCTATAAATGTATTAAATGTATTAATATTATAGTTTATTATTGATATTTTTTTTGCTAAATTAAATACTCTATAGAATATACAATTTTTTWAAAAATAWAAAATTAATTTTATTTATTAATTAATCAAAAAAAAAAATAAATAATTTTATTTATAAATTTATTTTATAAAATATATTTATACACTGTATATATATATATATATATATATTTGACTAAAATAATTCAATACACTTGAGCACTGGTAGATTTTATTTAGTGGGGGTAGGTGGGGGAKGGAGTACAGTGTCTATATATTTATACTATGTATATATATATATATCAATATATATATATATACTGTACAAACATAACATACATAWACTTAAACATTATTATTGTATTTAAGCAATAAATCATTAAATACAGGAACTCTCAGACTATTAATACTATTTGAAGTAAAACATTATTAATGGATTAAAGGGTCCAATGTTTTCACAAAAAAAAATAAAAGATTTTTTTTCTGGTGTCTATAAAAAYCCTAAACTTATAGTATATATATATATATATTTATAAATATATATTAGATAAATATCATATATTTTGTTAGATAATAATAATAATAMTACAAAAAAAAACTAAAATCATTTATCGCACACACAAATGGAAATTAATAACCGAAAGTATTTCAATAGATTATAACCACAGCTCAACAAAAAAATATATAATAATAAATAAAAAAAAAATAATATATATATATATATAATTGAAATCTAATGAAAATTGTTTCCAAAGAAAATACTAATAATAATAATAATAATAATAATAATACTTAAAGCTTTAAACATTGATTGCGTCTAAACGTCAAAAATCTCACTTTATATTATATATCCAATATATTGTGTATATATATATATATATATATATATATATATATATTATAAGTATGTGCTTTACAAAAAAAAATCCCTTATTATTATAGGTCCCTCAAAATTAATAGACATTTTGAGCCCACAAACAAAC